GAAATTTATTTTTTCTACGCAATTTAAAAACAATCTTTGATACATTACAAAGAAAGGACATTACAACGAACCGAAAGAGATGCATAAATACCCACGTAAATAAAACGAATGAATAAAAATTGATAAAAAATATAAATTGCTTTTTCATGAATCTAAAGATGAATCTATTCGATGTGACTGACGGAACACCCTGTATATTATTACGTCTTCGGAAGGTATATAAAAATAGAGGTGGAACAGAAGCGATGATAAACGGAAGAAAGCGACAACCGTAAGGAACCGTAAAATAAACTGAGAAGAACATCACGCTCGGGCGGCCGTCACTCACCTGAGCGGCTGGTATGTATATATGAAACGATATAAGTGCATTGTGCTCGTTAATGCGCTGGCGAGCGCGTAATGCTTGCGTATGTGCATAAATATTTATGCTATTCGGCCGAACAATCCCTAAAACGAAATGAAATCTCTTAACAGTCGCGACGGGAACGCGTATTATCATTGACACAATATATTTCGTGTTGCTTCTATTATCAATCCCTTTAATGATACCATCTCCTCAATGAGGATTATTTTCTTCCGCTCTTACGCAATTTCGATTGGAAAACAAGTTGCGAATTAAATCGCGCGTTACCAATGTGATTTTTATAACACATTTTTTCCGCTCTTTCTCGATCTTCCACTCTTCTTCTTTTTCCCATTTTGAGAAATATTATATTTATTACAAAAACTGGATTGAAAAAATTCAGTATGTTTACATTTAACAAAAGGAGGCTATCATTAACCTCGGTTATCAAATTAAAACCCCCAATTAAACCCCGAGACATACATTGATTGCGTTTTTCTCGTTGCGTCGTTGGATTTAGGGAAGCCGCAGTAGGCTTATATATATGCATCGAATGCAATGAGGAGAGCCGATCCGATTGGTGGTGCAACAACGCCGTGGAATGGATGTGTATTCGATCGGACGCTTATGCGGGCGCGTACGCTTTTGGCTACATGAGGGCCAAAAGGACAGACAGATAGCGAGGAAAAGAGTTAAATTCATTGTATTTCAAAGAGAACGTCTTCCGAGAGTAAAGAGAAATTACCTATATATACAAGACACAAGCTACAAATCAGGTACAAATATCACGACGAAATATGCGAAAGGAGAAGAAGAAAAAGAAACAAACTTATCGTATCTAGATATAACACAATGATAAAAAATATAATCAAGTAGAAATACCAGAGTTGCGGAATTCTCTAAATCATGGTTTTTCGATAATTGTTGTTATCGTTAACTAGCTAATGCGAGAGCCGCGCTTTCTTTTAGGATTGTCCCGCTATCGGCTGTCGCTAGTTGACGATAACAACAATTATCGATAAGACATTTAGAGAATTCCGCTACAGGTACAAAAACCAAATGGGGAGCGTATATGTAAAACAAATAATAGATATATAGTAGTAAAGTAATAAAAAAGATATCCCCACAAGATGAGAAATAGAAAAAGAAAGAAGAGAGTCATAAGTGACGAAGAAAAATAGAGGAAACTAGAGACAGAGAGAGAGAGAGAGAGAGAGGAGAGACACAGAAGCGGACCAAGGGAGACTCGCGAACTCGCTCGAGCCGCGGAACGCCACTTCTCTCCGCTTCTGCTGCGGAAAGAGAAAGAGAAAGAGAGAAAGAGAACCAAGTGGTGAGATAAAAGGCAAGAGAGAGAGAGAGGGAGACACGGCGCACGCACACAGCCAGCGGCGTGTACCGACGTGCTCCCCTTCTCCACGAGTTCCGCCGAGTGCAGCGTGCATCCAGGTTGCGCGCGCGCACGCGCGCGCGCGTGTGCGTGTACAAAGTAGGTCCAGCGCGGCGGCGCGGAGGAAAAGCAAGAGACGGCGAATGGGTTATCGCCGTCCCCTCGCGAGCGGCGCGACCAATCCGCGCCGTGCGCGAGTTGCGTGAAGGCGGAACACGTTGCTCTTTCGCGTATATATTTCGCGGTATTTATTATTCAGTTTGCAAATACGTGGCAAAAATGATCTCTCTCCCGCGCGCGGCCGCGCGCGCAGACGCCGGGATGTCGGCCTCGCGCCGCGCCGCGCCGCGCGGCTCCTCTCCCTCGGAGCCGGGAGGTGGAGCCAGAAGGCAAAGGAGCAGGGTAAACGACGGAGATATCGGCCGTTAATTTGTTAGAAACGCCACGGCCGATCGCGCAGCGTACGCCAGCCCGCGTGCGCGTGTAGCACATTATACGCACACTGGGTAATAGCTTTGTTTATTAAGGGTGCGGTCGAGTTGCCACTACGAATGCTACGAAGCTTTTGACTGACCAATCGGAAGAAAGAATTATACTTAATTATCCAATGAAAAAATGCTTCGAAGCATTCGTAGCGTCAAATCGACCGCAGCCTAATATAGATGAGATTAGAATATCGAATATTGTCAGGGAAGCTCGACGACCGTTTTCACGAGAGTTATAGACTTCTAAAGTCGTAATCACACCCTAGCGATCGCGCGATTGTGATTGACGATCGAGGGTTATTTCTCAACGAATCGGAACGAAGCAATCGGTGACTGCTTTGCTCCGATTGGTTGAGAAACAATCGTCAATCACAATCGCGCGCGATCGCTAGGGTGATTGCGGCTTAATACGATGATACGCCGGCTGTAATGTTCGCGGGTTTGTTGTTGTACAAGCCAATTATTGCGACAGCCGATCTTAATTTCCAAATGCAACCTCCGCAGATCTGTGGCTGTCGCAACGAAACCTTGCAATTGGCAATTGCGTCTAGAAGCGGCCTGCGCGTTCGGACGGAAAAAAGGAGCGTCGTCGTGCGCCCGTTCCATGCAAAACACCGGCGGTAATCCCCGTTTTTCTACGAACGCATGCATTTGCACCATGGTCAGTTACGCCTTCTCCACCCGCGTGTGTTCTATACGCCATAACATTTCCGCAGTTAACACACTCGTGGCCGATATCATCTCTCCTTTCTTTTCGCCCGTTCGTACGTTTCTCGCCGCGTTCTTTGATGTCCGCCAGTAGCGCACGCCCCGCGTGTGCGTCTTGGATTCCAAGGAAAAACGCGATTTAATCGTGCGATCGTATAATTGCAAAATTGCAAATGCCCGCGCGTCCGATCGTGATCATCGCGCGTGTCGTTGCTTCTTAATCGCCGATTCCCGGCCAGAGTCTCTCCCATGCGCGGCATTTAACGCGTATTATACCGAGTCTAATCGTAGATCTACCGCGAGAACGCGAAACGGAAGTGCGTCCCAGGGGCCATCCAGCAAGTGATGCGGTCCATCGCTGGTCAGACACGTTCACCGAAGAAACCCGAGAGCCGCTCTCGCCACGAATCTCACGCGAGACGTCATATTGAATTATGTGCACGGTCGATTAAAGCCGTTTTGATTTAACGAACTTCCGGAAAATGGAAACGAATTCTCGGTAGAAAACTCAATCCCAACTTCCGGGAAGCGTGAAATGTAAACGAGAGATTGCGGAGATCTCGCGATGACATCTCGCGTGATTAATTATATCGTGGGAAAGTCTTGGCCGCGCGAGTGTAGAAGTCGTAGTAATCAAGAATATTGTTCTTGTCAAGTTTCACTTTTTCGCGATTGATATATATTTTGTTAATAACGTTGAAAACGTTATTAAATATTACGCGGCACCGGCAAACTACGTGAACGTTTCCCGCGGAGTTTGCGACGTTTAAAAAAGAAAAAAAAAAAAGAGCTGCGCGGTTCAAAGTTCAAGGCACTTTACGCCCTACTTCCTTCGCGACTGCGTCGTTCGAGCCGTAAAACGGCCTCTCCCCGAGGATAGGCACAAATTAGAATCCCGTGGAATTCGCAAAAGTCACAGTCGAGTTGGCAACCGGTCCGTGTGTGAACGTACCACACCACGGTGCTTTGATTTTTTCTTCTTCCGTGAATCTCTCTCTTTTTAAATTACTATAACCTCTTTTAGTTATTCTTTAATAAATTATCATAAATCTCATAATAGAGTTTTCGATATTGAAAAATCAAAGAAACAGTTGGAAAAAGCAGCCGAAACGTCGATGATAATAAATGTATAAAGTAATAATAAAAAATATTTTTCAATCAGAAATATAAACAAATATAAAAATCGTTCAATAGCTCTCATATGTTTGAATCGAATGAAAATTATTACATGATTTTTCATCCTCATGTGCTTGTCTTTTTGGCCTTTCTGTTTCTGCTTAGAATATTACGAGTTAAATTGTACGCAAAAAAAAACGATTTTCTTCCTGAAATATTAAAAAAATTGACTAGATAAAAATTTGACAGATTTGAAAGTACACTGTAAAAAATAAAATGTTATAATTTTAACTCAACGTCTTTGAATTAAAATTAACATTTTATTTTTTACAGTGTAATTTTGATAAACTACCAAAATGATTTACGTTAGAATCTCAAAAATTTAGAGCAATGCTGCTTGACATTCTGGCAATTAATTTGTGAGCGTTCTACATAATTATTCTAATGATTCAAGTAAAATTATTTTTAAACCTATACATAGCGAAATTTTTAAGTACTTCAGCAAAAGCATCCTTTTAATCGCGTATAAATTTTTCTTCTCTGTGTATTTTCTCGTACGACTCAAACTTTTTAAGATCTCTCGATATCGCAAGAATCTTTCGACATATTCTTTGAATACATTCAGAGATCGGTTTCATGTATCTATAACATACTTCCTTTATGGAATTCGAGGCGATTAAGGAAAACTATAGAAGGTCTTCGCGAGCATCGCTGCATTTTCCCGATGTGCAACATGCATTCTCTCTTCCGGTCGCGAGAACATTAAAGGCCGATTTTCCGAGCCGAGTGGAGAATGCGAGCGGCAAACACTTACTCACTTGGCAGCGCGAAACGGGAACGTTGTGAAAGCCCCCCGGTGTGCGGCATGGCTGTTCATCCTCCTCATCGTCTTCGTCCTCTCGACGCCGCTCGACGTCCCCTCGTGTTCCTTGCACGGCGGCCGCGGCGGCGGCGGCGGCGGCCCTCCTCGCTAGGAAATAAGAAATTTTCTTGAGAGATGCGAGAGCCTCTCCGTGCGAGGGAGGAGGCCTAGCCAAGCGAACATAGTTAATTTAGATTGTATCGCGTGAGAAGCAGGAAATGACGAAATATCCTGAGTGCTGACTTATGCACGCCGCCTCATGTGTGCCTCGGCCGCGCCGCGCTGCTCCTCGACCTCAGCCGCGGCTGCGTGTGCTATACGCGGCTCCGACACGCAAGGATGATACCTTTTTTTCTCCTTTTTTTTTTTTTCTCTCTTTTGTATATCCTATATTGCGATCTGACGCCACCGCGCTGCGCGCGCGGTGAGAATTTTTGCGAGACGCGCGCGATGTCATTCCACATTTTATCCGTTAAACGAATTGAATCGTGTGTCACAACCAATATAGACGTCGAATATTTATAATGGAAGAGGTATTAAACGTTAAATTTATTGCAAAACGTTCCGCCAGTCCTCAACATGGTTAACTTTTAAACATTCCGACAATTGTGAGCAAAATTAGGTGTAATTCTTATACAGGGTGTAAAAAAATTAGACAAACTTTGAGGGACATAAAGACAAACATATTTTGTTAATAATGTTTTCCTCTACGACGCTTCGTTTTATTACTACAGAATAGGAATTTTATGATTTTAACAAAAAACGAACATATATAAGTGGAATAATTAAATTTATTTCAATTACATATATTTTAATCTTCAAATAACAATGAACAAAAGAACAGAACAAAAATGAATAACATATAAATACAACAATAAAGTTGAACCTAAAAAACGACAAATTACGATATTAAATTAACGGTATAAAACAAGTCGAAGTAAAGTTGATATATTTATTAAATTCTATACATTAAAAATTAAAATAATAACGAGAAACGTTTCGACTTATACGAAGTCCTTTTCAATCTCAAATAATAACATGAACATTAACAAATTAATTATAATAATAATACAAGAAGCCATACGGTCCATTGGTCAATATATTGTCAATCAAGTCAGAAGTAAATGTTATTATCTCTCATGAATGTTATTATCTCTCTGAAATAAGAAAATCATCCGTATCATGATTCTAAATAATCGTTAACGTCACATTAAAACAGGAACTTAAAATATGTAAATTTAAATTATAATTGAACATATATTAGACTTACAGTGGGTCAGATACTGTGAAATTTTCTTCCTTCGAACGAACGTTATAAATTAAAACATGATCTGTAGAGACAGTCTTAAAGACAGTTGTCACGAGAATAAAGAAACATAACTCAGCTGATCGGATGTCAAAAATGTTTACCTTTGTGAGTATATATATAATGACAAAAATGATTAACTTAATTTATAATAATGATCTTCTAATATAATAACGATCTTTATAATAATTGATCTTCTGAAAGAACCAGTCTTTCAGAACTCTATGATATTTCGTTTTGGTCTTATTAGTCTACGTAATATGTATTCAAGCGCTCAATGGAGCAGAAGTCTTCAATTATATCTTAATAAATTTGATGTGATTTGTGTTTATCATTATGGAGCAGCTAATTGCAATGGACGGGCAGCACAGAGACTGTATCAACAACGATATCCTGGTTGTCGCATTCCACGGCTTGACTTTTATTTATGGGGGATATAAAAACTCTCATTTATGAGACATCTATTGAAACAGAAGCAGAATTGGTAGCCCGAATTACTGCTGCAGCATATCAGGTTCAGAATATTCCTGCAGTCTTCGAGCGTGTGAGACAATCAATGTTTCGACGATGTCATCTTTGTGTTGAAGCAAATGGAGGAATTGTTGAACATTTATTATAAATTGAGTTAATCATTTGTCATTTTTGTTCCGTTCTTTTGTTCATTGTTTTTTGAAGATTAAAATATATATGTGTAATTGAAATAAATTTAATTATTCCACTTATATGTTTTTTTTTTTAAGTCATAAAATTATTCCTATCAACTTGGAAAGAAAAAGGGCACTAGGAGTTAAGCCCAAATAATTTTACGCAAACGCTGATATTTATCAAGCAAAACTTATTTATTACTATTGTAATAAATGCTTGTAAATATCAGCGTTTGCGTAAAGTTATCTGCGCTTAACTCCTAGTGCCCTTTTTTTTCCAAGTTGATTTTGAATTATACGGGAGTTTTTGTTATCAAAGAATTATTATATAATCGTAAAATTCCTATTTTGTACCCTGTAGTATTAAAACGAAGCGTCGTAGAGGAAAACATTATTCTCAAAGTTTGTCAGTCTAATTTTCTTACACCCTGTATAGTTGAAGAATTAGCCGTATAAAAAATTTTACTTGTTTTTATTTATTCTAAATTCTTTGGAGTGGAATCTCATTAAACAGTGAAAATTGAAAAAAAAAAAGAAAAAGAGTAGTTTACTCAATTTTCACACACAATCCTTAAGAGCGACCAGACTTCAAAGTGACAATTTATTCTAAAAGTTTTAGAAAATATGATTTCGAGCTTCGACGTATGACATTTGATTAATTATAATTGCCATTTCATTGTCTCAATTGTCGATGCGTGTATAGAATTGGGTATGGCCGCCAGACGGTCTTCCAGGTCGTACCCCGTGGAAATCTCGTCGGTGCACTAAAGGAAGTGACGCGGGAATAATTTGTCACACGTGATTGGAGACGGCGCATAATGAAGGCTCGAGTTCCGAGTACAATCGGTACCATCGATTTTAAACGACCGTATATATGAGGACACACGCGCAGTACATTCTTATACAAATAAGTCGCTACGACAAAGCGTTAATGCATATAACTAAATCCAATAGCTTTCGTATAAACTGATACAAATGGAAAGGACACGCACTTTCCAATTAATTAATTTCTTGTAATAACGCTTATCGAAAAATCAAATAAAATCTTTCTTATTTTTAATCATTATTCTTATTTTTTATAATAGTAGTATAATGAAAGAGAGAGAGAGAGAGAGAGAAGCAGTGAGACTAAATCTAAGATAAAACGTGCATAATGTGCACACAGAGACGCCGTTACTGTAGTGATATATTTGTTGTCGGCAAGGTGTAACGAGCATCGATGCGCAAGGTCGTTCCATACTTTGCTATCACAAGGTTGAATGAGAAGACGTTCATCTATATATAAAAAAAAAAAAAGCGTTATAAATAGAGACGTGGGTACTGTACTTAATTCCGCGCACGAAACCAGGTTCTTTCCGTCACACTCCCATGGAGCTTGGTCACCTGAAGAGTTACTATGCCCAATTAACCCTTTGAGAACCGTACGCTTGCCGGGCATTGCCACTTCCGACGTTGCAACAGTTTTTTGCCGAACAATTTTAGCGAATCCATTATTTGAGCAACACGGTAAAAGAAAAAGAAAAAAGAAAGAAATATCACAGTCGCGTATCTAATTTTTGCACGCATTTTTCAAATTTTACTGCAAAAATAATTAATTTACGTTAAAGGATTTTTATACGATGTACTTGAGTGTCGTAACTCGAACCACTCGATCCGACGTCAATCGAGAGTCACGAGTTATATCAACGCACTTTAATCGATGACGACCATTACAGTTGCGTGCAAGTACGAGCCCGTTTCCACCCGTGAGCTCTCAACTGAAGAGAGAAATGGAGAGAGAAGGAGAGAGAGAGAGAGGTCGAGAACGACTCTTTAATCTCTCACCTGTGACCCAGACGATTCGCGATACGCGTTCACGAGTGACGAACAGCTCGACGGAAGCGACCCAGATAGTAATAACTATGACGTTATATACTTGTCATCATTTTAATAACAAATCATGTCAACTTGTTATCTGGAACAAAAGGGAGGAATGATCCTTCGAGACGTCAAATTTCCCGAGTAATTCAAAATTAAATTTCGCACTTGACACAAATTCAATGAGGATGACTCCAAAATGAATCGAAACGTACGATGTTATTTTTTGTCTCAATTTAAAAAAAAAAAAGTACACGGTTTTACAGCGTATTTTTGCGCGCGTATATACTTTATTTAACTACGAGACGTTTAAAATTCAGTGACGATAAAATAATAAGTATATTAAGTAACAAGATATATAGCTTCTCCCTCGCGAAAAATGTCACGACTTTTCGAGTCCATACGGAAGTAAAGGGAAAAGTAACGTTCGCGTTTTATCTCTATATACATCCTGAGAAACACGCGCGGGCGTTTCCTGGGCGATGGTGGCGTTGGATCAAGGAACAGAAAATTCATCGGCCGCGGGGAGAAAAACGACGGTTACGAGCACGCTACCGTACGCATCGATAATATTCCAAGGGGGTCTCATTAGCGATCTAGGGAACGTCTATCCTCCGCCACGAGGAGTAATTATCTGTTACAACGCAGCCCGCGTGTGTATGTACGGCGTATAACAGCAGATCAGCGCAACGATTAAGCTCAAAAATAGTTCATGGGAACCCAGGTAAGCTAATCTCCATCGCATTAGTGTTGTTCCACACGTATAAAATGCTTTCCGAGGAGGAAGCAACATGCACGCACCTTTACCGCTCGCGGGGTCATCACTTTCGAAAGACTGCGAACGCCTCTCGGCTGCTCGCGAATCCTCGGAGGTAGGTACCGCAAAAACCGTTCCATTTAGAAATTCATTCCTCTACGCGATTCCGTTTTTGTCGAATTATTCGATCGATACTTGGATATTCATTACATTATATAACTAGTTCTTGTTTTGAGATCGCTTTAAATATTTTATAACAGGCTAATCTTAAGATTTTGTACTTGAAAAATGTTTAAGTATACAAAATCTCAGTGACAATCGGACTGTGACGAGATGTCTGACATCTTTCTTAGTATTTTAATATACAAGACAATGATCTCTACTTTTAAGACGTTTTTAATTGTAATTTTTAATTTTGTTATTAACTTATTGTGCATGATGTTTCTTGGATTCGATGGATTACACACATCCGTTACCAGAAGTATGGAAACTTTTTGGCCGAGCGAAGTGCTTCTCATCGAATCTTTGGAATCAACACATATTT